CTTGTGGTGTGTTCAGGTCTTTTTGACGCGTCGCTTACTTAAACTGTAGAAATGGTAAAACGTTTTTTTTTTTTTTGGTGCAACTGATGTCTTGCGGTCTGGAAGGATCCAATTTGTGGTCTGCTAATTAATGACCCCTGCTAATTGATGTATAAGTAGAATAATACATCACAGAACAAGCAGAAGTCTGCAATGTTCTACCTCTACAAGGGGTAATATATATACTCATAGGGGTAAAACTGTATTCATACTGTAAACAGCTTCGGAGTGCAATGTGAATATGACTCTTCTGGTAAATGTATCATCCTAGAACGTTTGGCTTCCTGCCTCTAGAGAAATGGCTCTGTCAAATTTAATTACTTTCTCTTTTCTCATTCACTCTACGTGTAACGAGAACCAGCCTCAATCACCAGGAATATTAGATGGAGATGTGCTCCATCACATAGTTTGATATCAAAATATTCAAGAAAGTCAATTCTTCTACCAACCCAAGAGGCAGTCAGAGGAAGGGGAAGAGCAGTAAGTGAAGGAGCTGAAGTGATGGTAAATGATAACAGTGGTAAATTATTGCTTCACTACATTGTCAATGACCAGTAATGTTATAAACCTTTAAATAGAGACATTCCCTTATTTCTAACTTACTCTAATTTTTCAGCACAATGAGGAATCTTGTCACAACTGCTAAAAAAGAAAATTAATTTCTTTAAAAAAGAAAATGTGAATACAGAGCGACCTTTTTTTTTTTTTTCCTACACTCTGATCATTGTTTAGTTTTTGAGTCATTGAAAGAGGTCTGAGTTTGGTTCTTCTGGAGATTGACCATTTCTTCTGGCAGCAGAGTGTAGGCAAAACAACAGCAGTTGTTTGTTGTCAGTCTGTTGTCGGACTAAGAAAAATAAACTAGATTGCTCTTCATAAATAACATTTTATTCTATCTAGAGGTGAAAAGTGGTGGTTTTACACTGAACATTCACAATGAATATTCATGCTTGTTGTGAATAGGCCTTGATGGTGGAAAAATAAGGATTGTGTAAATTAGTGGAACTCAGAAGTGCCTGTGAGCTAAAAAAAAAATCAAACATCATTGAAACATGAACATCTGTGAACAGCTCATTATGTGTTTTATCTTTGACCGCACATACTCTCTTTGAAGCTCTGAGGAAGTGCTTCCTGCTCACCTGTGAATAATTCTCAGTGGATCTACTTATGACATGACGTGACATGACATGACATGACATGACATGACATGAAGTATGGTGACCCATAACCATTAGGCCACGACTTCCCTTTGTCTTATGCAGTTGAGTAACACCGTTGAGACGGGCAGCACTCAGTATCTCCAGTGATATTCATTCCAGTGTCCTGAACTGTTCCCAGGAGAACTCATGCTGGAAAAATACCAGAGCTTCTGTCACGGAAATATCACAACTTTCCTTATTTTATGTCTTGCTGCCCAGAGCAAACTGTGTGATGTGAAATCTAATGAAGTTACATCTGCAGGCAAGGTCGAACAAATGGGGTTAAGATGTAGAACTCACCTGGGAAGCTGTGTCTTCATCTGGAATTGACAGGAGCTTTGCCATAAACATTGACCATGATTTCTGCAGTGCATAGGTGTAGCTTGACGTCTTAGTTTGGGGTCAGTGTGACAAGATAGGAAACCACCCCATTTTAAATTTTTTTTTGGTACATATACACATACACAGAGATTGAGTGAGAGACCATTGAGTGATCTCATGATGCAGTAAATAAAACTGCATCATCTTACCCATTGTAGAGTTAAAGTTTTTTTTTCTTTTGACTGCACTTCTCTTCTCTAAGTAGGGTTCAGAAAGTAACAATCCATTTTATTTTTATCTTTTATTCATAAATTGCGTATAAACCTGTCAGACCTGTCATATAAACCTGTCATTATAATTAATACAGCCAATGTGATTTTAATTTGAGGTAATTTGTTCACACTTGAGTGTCTAGTACCTGTTTATCAACATGTGTTTGCTTTAAATCAAACACTGTTATGTTGTGATTCATTTCAGAGCTGGTTGGTTTTGCTCTAGAACCCTTTACTGAAGAATTATTACTGCTGTATAATACCAGCCATATGAGAAGGATTTTCTGTTTTAAGAGAACTTAAAGTGGTGATGATTGAAATGTGTTCTTTACTGGACCTGGTTCCTCATATTTCAGTGGTTTAATAGCAGAAATATGTCTCCACTTGAGGTTCTGGAGTTCCAACAATAAAATAAAATGAACCATTTTCAGCTTGCTTAGGCAAAACACATACAGAAATGTAATATGTGACATGTGTCCCTATTTCGAATGGTGTTGTCATATATGTTGTCTTATAAGGCAATATATTATTATAACATATATACTCAGAATATTTGAAGTTGTAAGTTTATGCCATATTTACATTTACATTTAGTCATTTAGTAGACGCTTTTATCCAAAGCGACTTACAAATGAGGACAATGGAAACAATCAAAATCAACAAAAGAACAATGATATGCAAGTGCTGTGACAAGTCTCAGTTAGCTTAACGCAGTACACATAGCAAGGTTTTATTTTTTTTTTTTTTAATTATAGAATAAATAAAAAGAAAACAGATAGAATAGAAAAAGAATAGAGCAAGCTAGTGTTTGAGGCGTTTTTTGTTTTTGTTAATTGTATAATAAATAAAAAGAAAACAGATAGAATACAAAAAGATTAGAAAAGCTAGTGTTATTATTTTTTTTTTTTTTAGAAAATAAGCAGTTAGTAAATTAATAGATAAAAGTTTTTTTTTAAAGAATAGAATTAGAATAGAGTGCTAGAGTTAGCGGGTCAAATAAAGGGTCACCATATGTGAAGTACCCATAATAAAGTAGTACCCATATTGTATATATATATATATATATATATTAAAAATATTTATATGATGAATTTTTATATAATACTGTAATTTAAGACCCTTTATATGAACATTATATGTGTGATTTATATATGCAAATTGATTTAAATAACAGTCAATATGCTTATATATGATTTTTTTTCTTTTTTATTAGAATGAGACAAGTTTACTAACTGATGATTGTCATCATCAATATATTAAAAGAAACACCTGATCATATTTTCTCTGGGCTTCTGTGTTATAACAAATATGTTTCAGGAACACATGGTTACAACAGGCAGAGGAGAAAAAGGAAAAAAAAAAAAAAAACCCCAAAACAAAAA